GCCTAGGCATACTGCTGGCCTAGATAGGTTAGTAGGGGCCTAGCTATACCTAGCTAGGCCTGGTGGCGGGTTTTTGTGGTGAAACCACAACTGAATTGTATTAGATTTGATTTGGATTCAATTTCTAAAATTTCAACTCGAAATCGCAGCGGTTCGGTTCCAACTAATGTTGGACTCGCCCGAACTAAATTATACAACATGGACTTCTACACTCGTAGCTCTCGACTGCATACACTCATGTCAATAATCACTGTGCAGGCACAGAGAGACCCAAAATAGAGGCGATCTTCTCCCGTTCGCGATCCAGCTGTGAGAGCCTCACTCGATGGGGCTTGCCAATGGCCGTCCGCGGGATCTCGTCCACAAAGACGACCCCTCCATCCAGAGCTTTATAGCTGGCCAACTGGGTTTGGATCAGATCTGTCAATTGATCCGCCGTCGACTCGGGAGATATGCCGGCGCGGACCACGTATGCTCGAGGGACCTCGCTGCTGCCATCTGGGAGCATGACCCCGATCACGGCTGCGTCCTTGACACCCGGGTCTTTTAGTAGAATCCCTTCAATCTCTGCTGGCGCAACGGAGTACCTTGAATCACACACCCATGTTAGTTGGATGGGATGTCCAATAGAGGGTGGAAAAACAAAAGGAGTTAAGAGAATCGGGTACTTGCCCTCGCACTTTGATGAGATCCTTTGTCCGCCCGATGATATAGTAATTCCCGTCTCGCGCATACACCATGTCCCCCGTCCGGAACCATCCTTGCTCGTCTTTGCCATCGGTCCGCCCTTTATACCCCAAGAGGAGCCCCGGCCCACGTACGTACAACTCCCCCGGAGAGTCAGGTATCCCGGCAACGTCTTCGCCCGTGGCGGGATCGACAAAGCGCAGCTCGTATCCGTGCAACAGAGTCCCCACGCTGCCGAATTGCGGTGCCACGCCGTAGCGATTTTGGAACACCACTCCCACCTCAGTCATGCCCCACAGATTTCCCGCTACGGCGTCCGGCGACAGGAGGCGCTGGAATCGCTGCATGGTGAACCCGTCGATGGGGGCTCCCGAAATACCAACGTAGCGCAGGGAGGACAAGCTTTCGGCGACCGGCAGGGAGGATTGGTTCAGAATTTGCACCATGGCGGGGACCATATACGTCTCCGAGATGTGGTGCTGGCGGACGGCATCGAGAAAAGCGGAGATGTCGAAGCGCGGAAGGACGTACAAGGGCTCGCCGTACCGAATGGGAAAGATGTTGGTCCAAAAATCGCCAAAGGAATGGTACATGGGTAGTGCCATCAGGCGGACGACGGGGTACGGCACTTGGTAGTGGACGCTCAGATGGTGGGAGATGATTGTGTGGTGGGTTCGAATCGCGGCCTTGGGGAGCCCGCTGGTGCCGCTGGTTAAGAACATGGCTGCCGGTGTCCTCTTGCTCTGTCCACTATCTTCGAAACGAAGCCAGTCGGACTCCCCGTGCCGGAGCAGATTCTCCAGGCGCATAGGCGGTTCGGCCGTTTGGTCAATAAGACCCTCTGTCTGCGCCGCCGCACTGTGCGCAAATTGGACTATATTGTCTATAGAGAGCTCATCCACCAAGAGGATTTGACCTGGGAAGATTCCCTGCTTGCTGCACACCTCCAGAGTTGATAATGCACCTGGGGCAGTGATCACCAGCCGAGGCTCGGCGAGACGCAGCAGATGAGTCAGTTCATGGGCGGGACTACCCACGTCGCAGCCCATATAGACGCCGCCGGCACCGACGATGGCGAAGAAAAGAGCAGAGTGTATGACCTATGTTAATGTCAACGGTTTCATTTCATAGTCATGGGGTTGGGGCGTGATCACAGTATTCTCTAGCTGCACTAGGACACAATTTCCGGGCTCCAGATTTCGAGCTCTGAGCCCAGCAATGAGTGATCGCACCAGCAGTCGGAATTGTCTGGCATTGAACGCGCGCGAGGGATTCTGGGCATCCAGATAGATGGGTGTAGTTGGGTCAAACGTGGTAGGACCACTAAAAGCAAAGCTGACTAGATCCGTCTCGTCGTGTGGTTCCATATTGATAGTAGTCAATGTCTACGTCGTGTGCGATTTACCGACAAATATGCAGGAACCTGTCCTGCAGAAGGGCCTTTGCGCTTTATAAGTACGAGCTGAGATTGCAGACCGCCAGATGCAGGGCTAATTCCCCCTTGCATGAATTTGATCGACACTGCACGAGACATGTAACATGAAGTAGACTATTGAAAAAAGCGCCACGCCCATTTATTCGCACTTTTCTGCCGACCTACACTGAGCTAATACTATTACGTAGTCCGCTGTTGCCATTACAGAGCTTCGAGGCAGCTGAATGTGCCAATTCGCCCACAGATGCACCGCTGAGAATCAACACAATCGGTATGTCGACAGCCAATTCTTTTGCAAACCACCTGCGTAGCTCAACAGCGACGAGCGAGTCAACCCCAAGCTCCGGAATTAGCGTGTCGGAGGAGAGCGGTGCATCTGCAGTCAGATTCAGTCTGGCCCGGATCTTCTCCATGAGGCAGGCCGCGATTGCCTCAGTCTTTTCCTCCCGGCTGGTCGCCGCGGCCACGAGATCTTTAGTTGACTGGGACTCAGGCAACGGAGGCACCTGGTCCTGACTCGCGGTGGCTGTGTAAGAGTAGAACGGCCACAACTTCGGCACTGGACAGGCCATGCGACCATTCTGCAAACTCTGATGTCGAAGGCCCACAATGAACTCGGCGCTGCGAGTGGAATTTGGGTCTCCGCAAAGGATTGCTTCGCTGAGTACTTCGTCAATATCCCGCTGGGTTACAGCGGCCGGACCCCACCAAGGGCGCGGCCTGGCAGAGGGGATGTCAATGCCGCTGATCTCTCCCAGATGTACCAGGCTCGCCGGCCTGCCCCGAGACCGACGTTGGCGGACCAATGTGGCCATCTTCTCGGACATAGCCGCGGTCATTGCCTGGTCCGCGTGGCCTAGCGTTCCTGCAATCGATCCGATGAGCACCCAAAAGTCCAAGGTTGGGTTTTCATGAAGCTCATCTAGCAGCTGCAGCTCCTTCAAAACCGGATGCAGTTGGCTTTGGAGTACTCCCGCGGTGAGCTTAGACAAGGAGCAGTCAGGCAGCGGCCCGAACTCAATCAGCACTCCTCCTACGGCCGGAGGGAACGGGTGGGCGATGCTCTGATGCAAACTTCTGACGGAAACGCCGTCGATCAGGTTCCTGGCATCTATCAGTTTTTTGTGTGCAATGCAACTACCTGGGTGCGTCACTTACATTGTCGAAAAAGTGATGCGCGTTCCGCGACTGGAAACTTCTTCCAACCACCACGCATCCGGCTCCGGTTTGGAGCTAGCGAGGAGAATCCATCTTGCCCCGTGTGCTGCCAGCCAGAGACAGGCCATTCGGGCCAGTTCGCTGTCAAGTCCTACTAGTATGTAGGTTTTCTTCTGCGACAGCCGCACCTGGGAACTGGCAGTTGGTATCTGGGCCAGCACCCGAATCGAAAGGTCCCAATCTATAATCCCCTGGTGGCAATGAGTGGTAGGGTACTCCGCAACATTAGCAATTAGCACCGAATCCACGGAGGTCAATGAGACCGCCTCGCAGCTGGTGTACGCCACCATGCAGGCGGTTATGAAGGCTTTGGCTACGAGCAAAGAATCACGCCCCTTGGTCGTCATTGTGGACGCAGATACACAGTAGACGTCGTCTATTTGGATCCGTGTCGCGTTGTCAGGCAAGAGCGACAACATACGGTCATATATGCTCTGTCCCCGGCGATTCAAAAGAGCCACAGCCGATACATCCGAGGGCAGTACTTGTGATAACTGTCGCGCGGTACTATGCTCGTGCAAGGACAACACCGGTCCGTCCCTGTCCGGGTTGCTTGTGCTGGTACTGAAGATGACTTTAACATTGCGCCAGGTTGGGCTTTGGTGGACGATTGACTGGAAGACCCGGTCGGCCTCGTGCACCACGAGCGTCCCGAACGCTGGAATCTGGTCGACAAGGTATCCCGCCAGCAGAGCAGCCGCCGTGGCGTGCAGAAAAGACTGCTCTTGGGCTTTCGACACTGTGTCTGGCAGTGGCCACGCCCACGACTCCGGGACGATCACCTGAGATGCAATGTGGGACGACAGAGCAATCATTCTGTTGTTGCTGCTAACCTCCCTCCCTATGACCAGTCGCAGGAACATTGTCCCTGCTACTCGTACTGCGGCGAGACTGGAATATCGCACTCGCAGGCAAATGGTCGATCCGTCGTCTGAGGTTTGCGGGGGTTGAGCCACCGAGAGTAGTCGGAACCCTTCACGAGTCGCGTCAGCGGCCGGGGGGAGAACCTGTACCACTCCCTGGCTGAGGTCCACACAGTCTGTCACCGTCTGCCGCCTAGCTAGATGGCGCAGCCCAGTGGAATAGTTGTGGTATTGACGAGGAATGCGGAACATAGAGCCGTCATATTCAACCTCGGGCTCAATGCTGTCCAATCCACACGAATCAGGACATTCCTGAGCTGCACTGGCTTGGACCAAGCGTTCAAGGGCGATGGCCAGGACTTTCGCTGACACTCCAGCCGGATCCGTGATGTGTAGCAGCTGCAGCTGACAGGACAGTCGTTCAGAGGTCATGATACTGCGAAGAAGACCTCTCGTCAATCCACCGTTCGGCTGATCGGTCTTCTCACATGTCACCCATAAGACCCGCTTGCAGGCGGTAATCAGTGTCCGCAGTCCGCTCAGGCTGGCTTCGGTGAGATCTCGATCGTCGACCAGGTATAGAACCGTCAGCTCAGACGGATCAGTGACCTCCACCAGATCCAGGGATGGCGATCGAAGAACCTGATCAAATCTGCCTTGTACCAATTCAGCAAGCTCTGATATGACGCAGTCTGCATTCCTAGCGTCACCGCCTACTAGCAGCAGGTCTCCGCGAGACGATTGTTTTTTGTAGTCGCCCGGTGCCCGGCAAAGAAGGAGAGAGAAGCCCTGGAGGCTTGCAAATTCGTTGGGTGCATCGAGCGACTCCACCCAGAACCCGTGTGTAGACAGTAGCTCAATCCAGTGCTCCCTAGTGATAACTTGCTCACCGGAGCATGTCTCTATACATCTCGCAGGAGGGCCGAATAGAAGATTCAAATGTGTGATATCAGGGTTCGATCGTACCAGTAGGACCAGGAATCCGCGAGGCTTGAGCAAGCGACGGATATGGGTCACTGCGACCTCTCGGGGGAATCTCGCGGTGGTGAAAAGAGCCATATCGTAGGCATGATCCTGGTAGCCCTGCTCGAGGGGATTTCGATCGACATCGAAGGTTTTGCGTTGCACCTCGCCAGGCCGCTCAAGGTCGGCCCCATCTATCGGTTGAGAGGGCGCTGCATAGGTGAATGACCGGAAGCTCCTGCCCATCTTCCTCAGTACAGAGTGAACTGAACCTCCCAACGTGCCGATCTGAAGGATGTCCATCTGCGGAAAGCGGAAACACGTCTGACTGACCACGGAGATGAGATTGTTTACCAGGTGGGAGACCTGAACGTCCTGCTTCAAATACTCGTTTCCTTCGTCGAAGTGCGGCCAGGCCACTCTTTGACGACCCGATTCGCGCAGGACGTGAGGCAGCTGTTGGCCAACTGCAGCAATCGCCCTGAGACCGGGGTCCTCGAGAGAAGGGCCCAATCCAGCCCTGAAGGCCTCAACACTCTGGTCCAACCGTTCGGACGAGCCTGCAAGCTGTAGTCCCTCGCGACTATCCACAATGCACTGGTTCATCTGTGCTAGCAGCCGAGTGCCATCACAATCCAATCCACTTCGCTCTGAGTCTGTCAGTCCATGGCCGGCCTGTTTGATATACAGTAGCGCAAGCTCATCTCGGAGAGAGTATAGTTCTAGCACATCCGCTGGCAATGGGTGTGATGCCCTCTTCAGACTGGGCTCAAGCGGGCCCCATTCGGTCTGGGAAAGGATCTGCGTATCCGTCGGTGCATTCCCAGATGGCTGGCATACGAGGCAAACGCCCTCCAGCTGGACGGCCTTTTGCCCATCCATTGTAAATATATCGATATCACCCCGGATATGATCTCCGTCGACATCGGTCAGATAGCTGACTACCGTCATTTCCTTTCCAAGGGCACATAAGGCAGGATCGATCCAGATGTTGTCCACAGTTTTGGACAGCAATGCTCCGGTCAGTAGCCCCTCGTCGGGCGCACCCAGCGCGGCAATCATTGCTTGAATAGCGAGCTCCAAGGTTACGGGATGGAGATTAATAGGCCCGTCAGGATCTCTCGAGGGGACGTGAATCGTTCCAGTGGCGAGATCCCGCCGTCGGTGGAGTCCTGTCAAGCCAGTAAAAGACCCAGTACAGTGATAGTCCACGCAGCGCAGACTATTATAGAACCCGTTGATATCCACTGGTTCTACTGCGGGAGCCAGCTGGCCTTGTGGGGGGAGGAGAGCACGGTCCGGATCCCCTGGATGCATGATCATCTTGGCTGTTGCACACTTGACAAACTCGCCTGATACAGCAGCCTCGCAGCGGAACAGGGCGGAAATGACTCCGTCATGCGAGGAAATACCATCCACTGTGACAAGTACTTCCGTGCCGATGGGATCGTTCTGGATGGGGAGTGGGGTGTGGACGGTTAAATCCTTGACACTCAGCAAGCGGAGTCCCTTGGTGTCTGCCATTATCATCCCTGCCTCCAGTGCCATCGATACATATCCAGTCTCAGGGAAAACAGGTCTGGATCCGACACGACGGTCCGCCAACCAGGGCAGCTCCTCTGGCCGCAGGTAGTTTCGCCAACGGAACTCTCCTGGTCCGGTCTCCGGGCTGAAAACACCGAGGAGGGCGTTCGGGGGTGTAACGCAATGGTTATAGTTCAATGATATTCGCGACTGCGCCCAGTAGGTCTGAGAGTGATCGAAAGGGTAGAGTGGTAGCGATTCTACCGGCACATGCGATTGGCCGGGATCAAGGAGGGAGACATAGTCCTCGAGACGGACGACACTAGGGCCGAGATGCGCCCAGGCCAATCCCAGAGCCATTGCCCAGCAATCAGGACCGGGCTTTCCTCTCTCAGCAAGGGCAAGATAAGGGATTGTTGAATGGGCCGAGTTCACTTTCGACAAGGTTTGCAGGACCGGCCCTCTGAGGGTCGGATGTGGCCCGACCTCGACGATGACATCTGGTGCTCCGGCCTCTCGTACGGCTGCCTCCAGGGCCTGGGCGAACTGGACGGGGCGTAACATATTCTCGACCCAGTACTCTCCCGTCCGTTGGTTCTGGTCATGTTCAGTCATGACCTCCCCGGGGTAAACGCTAGAGTACCAGCGAGCGACAGACGGTGCCAGAGCAACTGGGCAGGCTTGCATTGCCTGACGATATGGGTCTGCGCACGGTTTCATATATGGAGAATGATATGCGGTGTCCACTTGGAGCATACGCGGAGTGAAGCCCAGGCTCTTCAGCAGCCACTCCAAGTCCCGCAGGCCCTCTGCGTCCCCGGACAGGGTGACGCTGGAAGGGGAGTTGGCAGCCGCCACGCTGATGCGTCCGGAATAAGGTTCTACGGCGCAAACAGCCTGTGCCTGCTGCCACGTCAGATTGACAGCCATCATACGACCCGTTGAATCCCGCGACTCGTCAATTGCTCGTCCCCGAAGGTATGCAATGCGGATGGCATCCGAGGCGGTCAGCACACCCGCAGCATAGGCTGCTACAATCTCCCCAGAGGAGTGGCCGACGACCATGCTAAACTCAATCCCTACCGCACAAAGGATATTGACTTGCATGATTTGCAGCGCTGTCCGCAGAGGGAGAGAAAGAAGGCCCTCGTGTACGCGCGAAGAGGATGCTGGCCGTGACAATTCCTGGAGGAGAGAAAATTCCGGGCGGAATTCCAGAGGGAGCTGATCTAGAGCTTCCTGCAGATCCGCTATCCATTGTCGAATCCGAGGACTTGCCTCGACCAGATCGAGTCCCATTTGCGGCCACTGGGCTCCTTGACCCGTAAAGATACCCATAACGCGCCTGGGCCGACTGATAGATCTGGAGACGATGGAGGAGGGTTTACCCGTGGCCCTTCGACTTAGTTCTGTGTCAATCTGGTCTTGTAATTCCTCTACCGAGTGTGCTATGAGCGTCAGGCGGTGGCGATGAGCGGAACGCCGAGTCCACATCGACACCGCCAGACTAAGAAGACTGACTGCTGCGTGTTCGCGTAGGAATGTCGCGTAGGATTCCAGGACGGATGTTAGTGTCCGCTCCGAGGCAGCCGAGAAGACGAAAGGCAGGCTGGAGGGCAGGTTATGAGACGGGTTGATCTCCCGGGAAGTGTAGCTTTCCAGGACAACATGCACATTGGCGCCCCCAAAACCAAAAGAGTTCACCGAGGCTCTGCGGGGATAGCCCTCTGGGAGCGCAGGCCACGGAACACACTCCGTTGGGATACATAGCTGAGCGGCAAACGCTTCTATCTTTGGATTGAGCTGCTGCATCAGGAGATTAGGAACGATCATCCCGTGCTGCAGCGACAGGGAAGCCTTGATCAGTCCCGCCAGTCCAGCAGTGGCCTCTGTATGTCCAACAACCGTCTTGATCGATCCCACATACAGTCGGTTAGGTGGATCCGCAACGCATTCAGGCCCAAAGAAACTTGCGTGTATTGCAGCCGCTTCCTGGGGATCTCCGGCCTGGGTCCCTGTCCCATGGGCCTCGAAATACTGGCACCGATCCGCGGGCCGGTCTTGAGGAGATAGTCCCGCGCGGGCGTAGGTTTTGAGGATTAACGACTGCTGTGCCTTGGCATTAGGCATAGTGATCCCCATAGTTCGCCCGTCTGAATTCGCCCCGGTGGCTCGGATCACGCACTCGATGGGGTCCGCATCGATGATTGCGTCCCGCAGCCGTTTCAAAACCACCGATGCAACACCTTCGCCGCGTGCGTAGCCGTCAGCCTTGCTGTCCCACATGCGACTCCGACCGGTAGGAGACAGCATCCGTGTTTTAGAGTCTGCGATATAGGCATTGGGTGACAGGATGAGGTTGCTCCCTACTGCCACTGCCAGGGAACAGTCATCGTTCTGCAAAGCTTCGACTGCGAGATGGACAGCTAGAAGACTTGATGAACATCCCGTATCAACTGTCATGGAGGGACCACGCCAGTCAAAGTAGTAGGAGATGCGATTGGCCATGATTGACGGCGAATTGCCCGTAACCATGTACGCTGGGAGTGCCTGGGGGTCCATCGCCTGGATTTGACTATAGTCATTGCGGAGGGCACCACAGAATACCCCAGTCATTGATCCCTGCAGCACATCCATTCGTAACCCCGCGGCATCAAGCGATTCGTACACTGTCTCTAGGAGTAATCGCTGTTGCGGATCCATCGCTGCCGCTTCCGTCGGCGAGATATTGAAGAAGGCGGCATCGAAGGCTCGGATATCCTCGTCCAAGAAATATGATTCCTGGACGTTTGTCGTGCCATGGTGGTCTCCATCTGGATGATAAAATGCGTCGATATTGAATCGGTTGGCCGGTATCTTGCGCGCAATCTCACGGGGATTTCGGAGAAGCTCCCAGAGCTTAGCAGGGGAAGAAGCGCCCCCGGGAAAGCGACATCCTGTGCCAATAATCGCAACAGGCTCAGTTTCTCTCATTGTGAGATTGTGCAAATGGAGAATAGGTGAGCTGTGAGATCTAAGTTCAATAATAAACGGCTGAGTGGGCGTAGCTCTACAAGTGTATGTAGATATGTAGAAAGCTGTGTTGCCTCGGCTACTGCCACCCCCCCGTCAACATTGAAACTATCGAACACACGACAAAAGCACCTTATCGACCAAATTTTGGGCATGGATAGGTCAGAAAAATGGATTTCCTACTTGGGAAGCATTCACCCCACTCCATACAGCAGTCACAGACTGGCCAGACACGGTTCAAGGGAGCGGTGAGCAAACAATATGGCGCCGCCGGAGATCCCAGGGCTGACCTGCATATGCATTCGTCGATCCAAGGATGCTCCTTGCACAAAGGAGTGGAGTCGGTACGATCACATCTCTTGGTCATGTCTTCTTCATCTTTGTATTTCTCACCAGAGACGTAACAATAGTATCTAGCAACTCGTCCAAGCGACTTTGAGACAGCATGGATAACGTGCCTCTGGTCTCAAACTGGGCCTGGAGTGTGGCCATTACCTTATTCCTGGGTCCTTTGACCCTTCTTCTTGTCTCATCATACCTCTTTCCATCGACCTTGACGGTGATCAATAGTGGAAGAGCCTGGGACATCTTTCGCACCGCGGCGAAGAAGCGATTTCGCTCAGACGCGGCACGTCTTCTTCAGAACGGCTTTGAGAAGGTGAGTCAGAGAGAAATCTACGTTATTCAGGATATGGAGTGCTGAAGTCCATTGTCATGCCAGTCTCCTGATGCCTTTCGCATTCTCACTGACAACGGGTCTTTGTTGGTCCTGTCGCCTCGATACGCCCGAGAGGTTCGCAGCGATGATCGCCTCAGTCTGGACCATTTCATCGCCTCCGTTCGTCGTTCCATGTCCAGAAACTTCATCCTCGTCGTTGCTGAGTAGCCTGTCTAGGAGTTTCACCCCGACATCCCGGGGTTTGAGCCATTCAAATTGATCTTGGATCCAAGAAACCCGTTGAACACGATCCTTAAGACGAGCCTCACGCAGGCACTAGGTAGTTACATCATCCGGCCAGTCTCTGATCAACACGGTCCTTGGCTAATATCAATCAAATGAGTAGCATATATGACAGAGGACTTGTCTGTAGAGGTCGCCGACGCACTATCCACAACCTTGACCGATGACTCCGGTGAGCACACACCAGATGATCGCTTCGGTGTCGGGAGATGAATGCTGACATTCCTCTACGCGGTAATAGAATGGCATGAGATCAGCCCTTGTCAAACGGCTCTCAAACTCGTCGCGCAGATGGCATCCAAATCCTTTATCGGACAAGAGAAATGCCGGGATCCCAAGTGGCACAACATCATTATCACCTACACGCACAATGTCTACCGAGCAGCACAAGCACTTCACTTTTGGCCCAAGTTCCTACGACCTATCGTGGCTCGCTTCCTGCCCGCATGCCAAATCTTGCAGGCTCAGATTGCCGAAGCGCGAGAGATCCTTGAACCTTTGGTGGCCCAGCGACGAGCCGACAGGGCCAACCGGGCCGCTCAGGGTAAACCTGCGCCGTCTCGCGCGGATGTCATCGACTGGCTGGAAGATTCTTATGGCGATCAACCATATGATGCCGTGGCCGCACAACTGCTGCTCTCATTTGCCGCGATCCATGGAACCTCCAACCTCTTGGCGCAGGCGCTCATGGACCTCTGCACGGATCCAGACCTAATCCGGGATATTCGCGCAGAAATTATATCCGTGCTGGGTGATGAGGGATGGACCAGGGCCGCTTTGTACCGGCTCAAACTGATGGACAGCGCATTGAAGGAAAGCCAACGCCTGGCGCCGAACAGATTGTGTACGTCCCCCTTCCCTTGCCGCCCGTCTGGAATGGCAAACTAATCTAGGTGTTCTTTGATAGTATCCATGGGCCGCATCGCGCAGAGCGATATACACTTGTCTGATGGCCTGCGTATCCCCCGAGGCACGACACTCATGGTGTCTGCCCACACCATGTGGGAGCCTGAGATCTACCCGGACCCTCGGCGATACGACGGCTACCGGTTCTACAAGCTACGACAGGCATCAGGGCAAGAGGGCCAGCACCAACTGGTGTCCGCAACGGAGAAACACATGGGGTTCGGATACGGGAAGCACGCCTGTCCTGGGCGGTTTTTTGCGGCCGCCGAGATCAAAGCAGCCTTGTGTCATATTCTTCTCAAGTACGATCTGGAACATCGGGGTGGCCAGCCACCGCGAGTTTGGAGTCAGGGCATTCATCTGTTTCCGGATCCGACGGCCAGGATCCACGTCCGTCGACGAAAGGAGGAGATTAGCCTGTGAGGACTGTCTTGCATTGGACCCGCTCTTCTGTGATCGACATTGGAGCCTGCCGTGGACATTTAGTAAGATGTTTGGCAGGTCACAGGTGGAACTTGTCGCGCGTAGGACATGGTTATTGGGCCAACTTCTTCTGGTGATGAGAGTGAATCCATGGACGGTTTGTGGATCATTTAGAACATCTAGCAGTATCAGTAGACTTACTTTGCTTTTTTTTTTTTTTTTTTTTTTGGCA